ACAACTGAGCATCCCAATTACATTTATTATTGACAGGGCCGGGTGGAGCCGGTTTTGCCAGTTAGTATACACAAAGAGACGGACAAACGGACAGACAGAGAGGCAGACCTACGAACAGACATTCCCATTCTCCCACCTCGTAAGCGACTGTTGTGAGCATATCTTTGAACATACGCAGCTTTAGTCATATACAGCTACAGAAACAAATGGAGTCATCCACTTCCCATCATTGTAATTGGCCACGCCCCGAGATACTTCGTGAGAAAATTCCAGATGATATGCTGACCAGAAGCAGATTCGGAGAAATTTATTGATGAAAATCCCTTCAAAATTGTTTTTTCTTAATGTTTTCGTTTTTTATTTCTTTCTGCACACATATGGCCCAAAAGGCCATGGAGGCATGGAAAAAGAAGCCATGGAAAAAGCATGTTCTCGCCGTTTTCGCGCTTTCTAATGTGGATTTTGGGGATTCACCCATGCAATAATCCCAGGTAAGTGATCAAAAATGAGTTCCTGCCCGGAGTCTGGCTCCAGAGGCAGTGCCTCGGCAAAACTGAACATCTCGATATTTTGATGTGGTATCGTCGTAGATTCGTTGGGCGCATTGCTCAAATGTTGGAGACTGCAGGGCGCGGCTGACTTGTTGCGAGAGCACGTATGAATGGCGATTGTGTACTGGGGCAAACATTTTTTCGCGGAGCATGGCTCCCAGTGATGACCAGTCCGCGCAGTCGATAGGGATCAACCCCCTCCCCCTTCCTCTTTAGATATGAAAACAGAGCAAGTCCGCTCGCACAGCATACCCTTTCACCCTGCAAGGTTCGTGGGCACAAAATCTCCAACGATGAGAGAAAATTTGCTCATTTGTTTAGCTCGCACAAAAATGTTTCCAACCGCGTTAAACACGCAATAAGAAGAGCTAAGAGAATATTTACGAAAAGTGTTGTTTGAGTGGGCAGTATAGCTCAAGCTCTTGTGTAAGGGTGCATAGAACGCTACAAACCGTCATATAATCCATGAATGAGTAATAAGCGAGTTTTTTCAAAGTTGGTAACGTTCTTAGTGATCGCATTTGCATAAAAGACACTAGAGTTTTGAAAAATGCCCATGTAGCGTTCCGTGTACGTTGCATCTGTAAACATTATTAATGTCAGAAATTCAAAAATAAAGCAATCACTTACCATAATAAAGAAAATTTGCGGAGGGTGCAACTGATATAGCGCATTTGAAAAAACCTAAAGGAGCTCGTTCTACAATCAGTGCAGAGGCATAGCCGCCGTAGGACCAGCCATATACGGAAAGGCGGTTAGCGTCTAGAAATGAGCGCCTTCTGAGAATTGTCCTGAAAGTAAACGATGCTAAATCTCTGTCGAAATTTAAGAAACTTACCGTAAACCGTTTATTTGGTCGTTAATCTCTACCGTACCAAGAGCTCCGTAAACCGCACTTCGATATTTCCAACCGCGTCCAGTGGCTCCTCTGCCGTCAATCTGAAAGGCGGCGAGTACTGCAGTCACGCCAACAAATTTCTCCTACTCACCGTAACAACAGCGTAACCTGCATCAAGAAACTGCAGGACTTTATTATCTACATATAAATCAGTAGCCATTTGCGGACCTGGGCCAGCGTAACTACAAAACTAACACTTCCTTGTAATTTCATTTTGAGACGCAATATTCTTAGCTGCGATAGTTTTTATCGTCCCTTCTATACCTACTTGCTGCTACCCTTGGCCTGCGTTTCTAATCTCAGCACGTATAGCTACCATGTTGTCAACTTGCAACAACATTTTGGCAGAACATTTTGTCTATCAGCCTCAGCGCCAACATGTTTTTGCATGCTGAAAACATGCTGTTGCACGTTGGCAACAAGCTAGCCGTACTTGTCGAGGTCAGAAACGCAGGCCAAGGGTAGCAGAAATGTGGAAGGGAGGATAGATTCGTTGCAAAAGATTGAGAAATCGATCAGCCTTATGATAATGTTCAATAATTAATAATTTATTTTCATCCCTGCAGTCGCAGCGAGTAATTGGTTAACAACTTTCATTCGTGACTTTCTACCTGTGGCTAATACTAATATATTTCCTCTTTTCGCTTTTTTCTTTTTGCTGCAAACGGTCAGCAAAATTTTGGAGCGTGACCAAACCTCCAGCGAGCGGTACTTCCATGTTCTTGCCAACGGACAGCATTACGGAATTTTCTGCGAGAGCTCATCACATAATTTCTGTAAACGAACGCTGACCGAATTCTCTGCAGGCTCGGATTCTTTTTACGTAGCGGGAGTAGCCCTGAAAGGTGAGACGCTATGTGGCAGAGGTGCATCTCTATGGTTTGATTACATGAATTTGGGGTACTCTTTCTGAGCGAAAAATACCCCAGGCTCTGCTCTCTTTCACAAAGGACCGTGCGGCATCAACATCTTCGCATATTGCCGCGGAAAGTTTACGAGAATGCGGCCATTGCGCCGCAACTAATCTATGAATAATCTCTGTTCGTTCGTTCAAAAAATGCCTAATATTTTTTCAGATATACGCAAGCAGACCACAACAAACCAGCGAACATTTGGTGCCCGCTCGCTAAGTCGCCTCGTCGCCTACCTCGGCGACTCTCTGAGTGAGTGTCTTCCCACTGTTTGACAAAAAATATTCTGGCTGCCAAATTTTTGGTTTTGATTTCGATTTTTTTTCACTGTTTTTGAGGTTTACCGTCAAG